GTGTGCATGTGTGTGTGTGTGTGAGCCTGTGTGTGTGTGTGTGTGTGTGTGTGTGTGGGTGTGTGTGTGTGTGTGTGTGCGTGTGTGTGAGCCTGTGTGTGTGTGAGTGTGTGAGTGTGTATGCGTGTGTGCGTGTGTGCGCGCGTGTGTGCGTGTGTGTGCGTGTGTGTGTGTGTGTGTGTGTGAGTGTGTGTGTGTGTGTGTGTGTGTGTGAGTGTGTGTGGTACTGGCGACTGAACCCAGACTCCATGAATGTTAGCTTAGTGCTCTCTTCCACTGAATGATCTTAGGAGCTTTGCTTGTTTGTTTTTTTGTTGTACTTTGTCTGGATTTAATGGTTTGGAGACAGGATGTCATGTAGCCCAGGCTGGCCTCAAATGGCTATGTGGCTGAGGAAGACCTTGCACTTCTGAATCTCCTGCCTTCACCACCAAGCACTGGGATCACAGACATAAGCCATCATCCGTGTTTCGTGAAGTGCTGGGGGTTGAACCCCAGTCCCCCGCATGCTGGGCAAGTACCCAACTGAGCCTACCCCCCACAAGTCTTATTATTGTTTTCAGTGAGCTGTCTTGTGGAGGAGTGACAGCTAGCTTTTACGACAAATCTTTACGCCAAATGCCACCTGAGCCCCACCGCCATGCGTAAGCTTTACGCCAGCCACCTGCCGGAGTTAGGGCCCAAATTAATACACAGAAACTTGTATTAGGTTCAAAGCTGCTTGGCCAATGACTAGGATTCCTCATCTGTTAGCTCAGTCTTAACTATCATAAATCTATATATGTTATAAGACTTATCGGATGCCTTATTGGCGTCCCTCCTTGCTGGTGGATCACATCCTGCCGCTGGAGGAGGAAGGGGAAAAAGGGATACTTCCTGTTTCTCTTTCTTTAAATATGAGTCTCCTTGCTATGTCACTTCCTGCCTGGATCATCATTTATCTACTACATTTCCCAGAATCCTCTTTGACTCTTAGTCCTAACTTGCTGTCTCATTGGCCAAACAGTATTTTATTTAACAATCAATAAGATAAACATACACAGTACATCCCCCATCATCTCCTCTTTTCTGTCTAAATAAAAGGATAACTTATCTTTTATAAAACTGAAGAAAACTATAACCATAACTATCTGTCTTTAACTCTATCAAAGATCATAGAAGGATAATATATAAACTCTAGAATTGACAGGACTTCTTGCTACCTGGACAGTCGCCCAAAGTTCCTCTGTAACGTTGGGGCATCCATCTTTAGCCCATAGGCCATAGTGTGTCTGGCACACTTCTCCATTTCAACAGGAACCCTTCAGAACTGTCTTGGTTTGTAAGTTCAGCAGTCACTTTCTTGGGGGTCCTGTATGTCTAGTTTATTTAGCAACAAACAGTCCAGGCAAGAGCCGTTTCTTGCCCAAATGGCTAATCTTGCATGTTGAAAGCAAACTCCATAATGAGTTTCTCCAATGCCCATCCTCCTTTCTGACATAATTGGTGTTCCAGGAACAGCTGTGTCTCACAGCCAAAAAAAGCCCGAAACCATTTAAATGCCATATTTCTGTAGGTCTTTGAAAGGTTTGAAGAATACCTAACCATCTCAAATACATCTCTATCTCTAGAAAACCTAACCTAATTATAAATTCTGACTATTATAGGTAAAAGATCTGTATAAACATAATACCTAAACAAGAGACATACACCTATCACAAAATCAACCTTAAAGTTGTACCAATAAATGAAAATCTATACCAATGCAAAGTATTCATTCCTTTTCCCCTTTTCTTTCTTTAAAAAGAGATTGACTATGCTCATTATCATTTAGAACCAACCCCATTTAAATGACAACAAATATTTATAAACAATATTTTGGAGTATGGGTGTCGTTCTTTCTAAACTGCTTCCTGCTGATTGGGGGCGATGTTC